TATATATATATATATGAATGAGGCATTGTTGGATGGGTAGGACTGAAAAATAAATGTGTAATATAGCTATTATACAGATTTATTTAATTTCATTTAGTACTACAGACAGTGTTTCACAAATAGGAAGATTGTACTATATAATAAACAGTTTTTTTTTTTGCTTTACATAAACAGAAAAAATATGGCTAGCTAAACAAAGAAGAGCTGCAAAACAAAACAAAATATATAAAAAGTATGTAAAAGTATTTATAGTTTTCATGACAACTTGAAGGAAATAATGTGACAAAACAAATATTCTGAATTATTTTAAAAACCGTTTTCATTTATATTTAAAAAAAAAAAAAAGATAATTTTTCCCTTTTGCTTTTTTATTGAAACAGTCGTATTTTGTTTGCTTCACATAAAGTAGAAAATGTGGCTAGCTAATAAAAAACAAACAAACAAAAAAACAGTATATACAGTTTTCACAACAAATCAAAGGAAATAATAACAATAATAACAATAGCAATATGTTTAAAGAAAATGAAGCCATGTTTTATATAAATCATTGCATGTTTATATATAAAATATAATGAAAATAATGTGACAATACAAACATTCTGAATTTAACAACAGTCTTCACATTTTTTAAGAAACTATATTGTCCTTTTTTTCTCCCTCTTTTCATTTTTAAGTGAAATATGAGCTCCGGTTGAGCGGTCAACACATTAGAGAGTCAGATTAGCCGTTAGAGAGTCTCTAACACAGGACAAAGTTACAGTCCCTCAGCAGGAATACAGAGAGACGACTCTGCCTTATCATAGTAAAACGCCGCTTTGTAAGTCACCTCACACCTGTACATATTCCCATGACTCCAGTTATGAGCGAGCACCGAGTACAGTCCCACCGCTGAGAATGTGCCTCCAGGCTCTCGGTGCACTTGTGGAGAGCTGGTGTGTTTTCTGAGACCTGTTGCTCCGTTTACCTTCCATGTGATCCTCACCGCTTTAGACTGCAACCCGGTGATGACACAGGCGAGCGTCACTCTCTCTGCACTCTGCTTCTGAACGCCAGTAGGCAGAAGAACATGCACCTTCGGAGTCACCAGGTGGTCAACACGGACGTGAGGAACTGTTAGCGAGAGCATGATGAGCATAAAATGAGCAACGAGGAGTAAAAAACACATTTCGAAACCTCCTGAAAGTATCTCTTACCTTCCACAATAAGTCGAAGTCCTCTGCTAAACATCTGGTTCATTTGGTCCTTCTCACCTGAAGCAATGCTGTAATAGAAATCTGCAATGAGCTTCATGATCAAATATTTATTTGTATTCATCGATTTTGCCGTTAAAATCTCACCAGAGCAGAAGAAGAGAGATAATAATGATAATAAGACCAGTTGCCTTTCTATTCTTGTTCATTTCTGTTTCAGTTAGTTTCTTTATATGTCTTCTTTATTGTGTGTCAGCAAATGATTGCTGCAGTATAATTTCCCTCTAGAGCCAGTGAAGCTTGATTCGATTCAGTGTTGACTCTTATAAAGTTGACACAGAGGTTGACAGTTGAGGGAAGAGCGTCCCATGTGCTCATATGTGTGCAGATGGTCCATTTAAAAGCAATCAACCATTACAATGCTGCTTCCTTCACAGGCTATGAATCAGGTTTTAGGAAATTATTCATATTGTTAATATTAATAGAAATCTTTTATTACAATGAAATCTTTTAAACTAGATTTTAATATATATTTTAAAATTAAAAATGTTATTTTAAATAGTAGGCTATTTTAGTATTTTACTATCACTGAGTTATTAATATAGTTCATCATTTTTAAATTAATTTATCCATTTTCATTTTAGTTTTGTGATGTGTAGTATTTATATGATTTTTGTTTATTAATTTTTATTTCAGTTTTTTTTGTACAAGTTAAACAAAAAAAAAAGAGAATGTTTTTAATATTGTATTTGATTTCAGTTATAGTTTATTTTATTTCAAGTAACAACAAAGTTTTTTATGGTTTTACTTAATAATAACCACGATGGGCATGCAGTATGCTATTTTATGGTGTTTTTTGCAATCATGTCTTTCATTTTTGAAAATGGCTCTGAATCATTTATGTTTCATAGTTTATGCTACATGTGTGAGGATCAGTATGCTTTCTTCTTTTTATCCACAGATCCAAGTGCTTTATTAGTTTGACTTATGTAATATAATAGAATAGAAAATAGATATTATATAGATATATATTAGTTATTAGATTAACTTCTTTTTGTTTAAATGTAAACATTTTCTGAAGTGCAAGTGTGCAATTGGTATGGTGTTAATTAATATTTGTGCATGATAAGCCAATAAGAGAATAATGTTTTTACACGTTAAAGTTTATCAGTGTGTTAAAAAAACATATTTGACTGTTATTCGGTTAAGAGGGACATAAAAACAGGAAAGAGCCGTTGGTTTACTGGCAGAGACAGATGCTCATCACAACACTGCCAGCACTTCTGCACAGATCTCCTGGGAACCAACTAATCCAATTAGAGCAAGTTTGCAGGTTTTGCAATGCAAGCCAGAACTATTTGAACATTAAAAAGACAGCTTATATGAAATAGGCACTGATGGAAAATTGCATGATACAATAGAAAAAAGTTAATTGATTTCCATAATTAAAGTTCATTTGCACAAAGATGCATTTAAGATAATTAAATATCTAAAGCATAATATATAATACAGCATTTGCATTAAGTTGTCTGGTTTTTATCTGAAAACCCGCAATAATAAGTGCCAGTATCATTTCGTAAAGTTGTGATGATTTGTAAGAGGTGACGGGGGTTTAACCCTTCCCTGGTTAAGATGGCATATCTGCTGCGGTCCAGTCGTGTGCCGTAGCGCACCCGTGAAGTGTTGGTGATTCTGTAGCAGAGGATCAACTGTGGCCCATGCCATGGAGTCTGCTTATACCAGCTCATAACCTCCTGGCTGCTGGTGGCCATCAGTGGGCAGCTCAGCATGACATTTTGCCCCCTGCTGCACAGAGACGGTCAATGAAGTCTTCCATAAAAACCCTGAAATTACATACACAGTCAAATGTTTATATAGTGTGTAAGTGATGAAGAAATATATTCAGATCATGAATATTTTCAATATTATTAGTTTTTAAATATTTTGTTGTTTTAAAATATTTATTTTACATATTTTTTTTTTTTTACAATATTTATATATAAAAAAAACAAAAAAAAACATGAATATTATATAACCCTTAAAGTAGAAATAATATTTTTTAAAAACATTAAAATAATAAAAAAGGAAAAAACAGATGCAAAAATTAAATCAGCATTATGTTTATTTAAACATCAAAAAACAAACGTAAAATATTCGAGGAGAAAATATGAGTTGAAAACCATGGAGTGAAAACAGTATCAAAACCTCCTACAAACGCACGCAAGAGATCCACACTCGCGACCACAATCCACAAACACACGCGAGAGATATATTGTAGTTTCACACTTTGTCTACTTGAAGTCCATTAAGCGCCCTCCTGAGGAAGACGCGAAGACTCCACATGACACCGTTGAAGGTAATGTGTACAGATAGGCGTGTGCGCATTTGTGAATTTAGGCCACTGAATGATAGTCTCAAAAGAATCCACAAATACAAAAGCAAGTATTCACGTACATTTTTAAGGCGGAACACTAATGCAAAGGACTCGCGATTTGTTGTGCATTAAAAAACGGGTGGTAAAAATCTTTTTGTGGATCATACTGTAAGCAAAGAAACAATTAATGCACTTACTGCCTTTTTCTGGATTGCCATGTGTGCGCCAGTGGATCTCTCATGTGCATTTGTGGATTCATGTGCGTGTGTGTGGATCTCTCGCGTGCATTTGTGGATTGTGTGCACCAGTGTGGGCCTCTCACGTGCATTCGTGTGCGCGCCTGTGGATCTCTCGCGTGCTTTTGTGGATTCGAGTGCGCACCTTTGAATCTCTTGCGTGCATTTGTAGGAGGTTTTGATACTGTTTTCACTCCATAGAAAACACTTACAGTGCAGTGCCAGATTCAGAAGTGTAAACAGCTTTATGTTGCAGCTTATGTGAAGATCCATTGTTTTATTATTTATACAAGTGAACTTGGGTGAGAGCTGAAGTGTGGCTGTCTGTATGAAGCCGCTTCCTGTAGGACGGTGAGTTCAGTCCTTACAGTCACATGAGTCTCTCAGGAGAAATGAGACTGCTGGAGGGTGGGTGCAAATGATGGGGTCATGACCCCAGAAATTACACATGCAGATAATAATAATGCAATAAACTGGACAATCATGCACAGTTTAACTTCTCATCCAAACTACAGTATTTTGGTAAAAAACAAACAGTATTTAATACAATAAATATGAATAAAGTACTTTCATGGTTGTGATTCCAATGTTTCTTGGGAAACTAAATGTTTTGTAGTTTTGAATGTGGAGAAACTTGCTTTTTGCCATCCGGTGGTGTAGTTCCAGCATCTTCCGACAGGGGTTCCTCCACAAACCCTGAGCTAAACAAGCACAATAAATTGCACACTCCTTGGACTAGGTGCTCAGTATATTATTGAAGTGAGCTTATAATAACACAAAGTGAGTTTCTTAGACTTTTAGTTACGGTAGTGCTGCATTTAATTTTTGACAGGAATAAAAATCAAATCATGACATCAATAAAAATCATGCGATGGTGCCACAGACGGCAGCCTCAATGTTTGGCTCTCCAGTGTTTGTACTGTTTTTGTTCGTTTTTCCTGTTTTTTGTTTCTCAAACACGATCAGTTTTACCAGGGATGAGCTGCTGAACATTCGGCAGAACACACCACACAATCTTCTACCAGATTTCGTTTATTCGGACTTGTGCAATTAAAGTACAGTATGTGCAATAACCTTATACTTATTTATCACCCTAAACCCTAGTACATCCCTACAACTTATTTTATTTATTCTATTCCTATTCCATCTATAGCACACCTGTACATACAATTTATTCTCTTTTTTGTGGTTTATATTTATGCATGTGTATTTTATTCACATCTCATTTTTATTATCTGTGTGTTGTTGTTGTCTCCGTGTACTGGAAGCTTGTGACACTATAACATTATGACTTCAATACACTGGAAAGACAAATATCGTAATTTTCACTCCACTACATTTCTATCAAGGTCCTCGAAGTAGAAAGTCGTTACTATGTAGCAGTACATAGTAACGACTTTCTACTTTTTTCCTCCTTTTTTTAGACTGTCTATCAGTAATCACTCTTATAGGGTTATGTGAAGTGATTTCCCAGTATTTTTTAAACACTGACCAGTTGCAAATGTGATATTTATTTACAACAATTTAATAAGAAGTAGTTAATATTGTGGTGTATATTAGACACAATATTGTTTGATTTTGCAAAATTGTGTAAATGAAAATATCACCTAAAGCCACAGAAGAACTGTTGTGCGTCTCTTAACAAAACACAAGGCATTTGACTTGAAGCAGCACTGCACAGACTGTTCTGTGTAAGACATCAAAGTACCGTGAGAGCGATTAGAGAGCATTCTTGACATTTTTGATTTGATGTCAAATAAATCTTGCTGTTTTGCTTTTTTGTTAAAAAGCAGTGTGGCTGTTTTAACGTTATACAGCTACAGGTGTGTTGCTGGGTTGTGAGTTATACATCAGTTGTGTTGTGTTGCTGTGTGAGATCACTAGTACTACTATGCTGCTTTTGTGGAGGTGGGAATGGGTGTTAAATATATATTTTTTGTCAACAATTGTTCAACAGGAGAGAGAATCAAGTTTGGAGCAACTTGAGAGCGAGTAAATGATGACAGAATTTTCATTTTTGACTGAACTACCCCTTTAAAGATACACAACCAAGGACAATTGTACATTTGGTCACACTTTATTTTAAGGTCCAAGTTTCACTATTAACTATTAACTAGTACTTTTGCCTCACTAAACTCTTAATTTGCTGCTTATTAATAGTTAGTAAGGTAGGTGTTAAGTTTAGGAACTGACCAGTTGCAAATGTGATATTTATTTACAACAATTTAATAAGAAGTAGTTAATATTGTGGTGTATATTAGACACAATATTGTTTGATTTTGCAAAATTGTGTAAATGAAAATATCACCTAAAGCCACAGAAGAACTGTTGTGCGTCTCCTAACAAAACACAATAGGCATTTGACTTGAAGCAGCACTGCACAGACTGTTCTGTGTAAGACATCAAAGTACCGTGAGAGCGATTAGAGAGCATTCTTGACATTTTTGATTTGATGTCAAATAAATCTTGCTGTTTTGCTTTTTTGTTAAAAAGCAGTGTGGCTGTTTTAACGTTATACAGCTACAGGTGTGTTGCTGGGTTGTGAGTTATACATCAGTTGTGTTGTGTTGCTGTGTGAGATCACTAGTACTACTATGCTGCTTTTGTGGAGGTGGGAATGGGTGTTAAATATATTTTTTTTGTCAACAATTGTTCAACAGGAGAGAGAATCAAGTTTGGAGCAACTTGAGAGCGAGTAAATGATGACAGAATTTTCATTTTTGACTGAACTACCCCTTTAAAGATACACAACCAAGGACAATTGTACATTTGGTCACACTTTATTTTAAGGTCCAAGTTTCACTATTAACTATTAACTAGTACTTTTGCCTTACTAAACTCTTAATTTGCTGCTTATTAATAGTTAATAAGGTAGGTGTTAAGTTTAGGAATTTAATTATGGTTATGCAGCATAAGCCATTTATATGCGTCACAAATCTTGTCCATGGACTTCCGTCCGATTGCCACCAGAGGTCACCCTTCCGTTACATTGATTCTCACACTGCACAAACTGTTGCATGTCATCCTGGACTACATTTCCCATCATCCATTGCACTTATTGCACACAGCTGTAACCAATCACACACACACTATATTACACCCACTCAGATCCTTCTCAAACTGCCTAGTATTGTAAGTGCATATCGCTACCCTAGCTGATACTTTACGGAGCCTGCTCCAGTTTTCATAGTCTAGTCATTGTCAGAGTCTTGCCTTGCCTGCTTTCCTGTGTATTTTCCCTTGTACCCGAGTATTTTGGATTACCCTTTCGTCTTGTCTTTTGGATTATGTTTGCACCTTGCCTGGACTTTTGCTCGTGTTCCTCGGATTACACCTCTTGTCAAGCCCTTTGGATTACGTTCTCCATCGATCAACCCACGCCTGTTTAACGGATTACTCTTGTGTCTTGCCTGTGCCATATCTGTTTGCTGGTGTTCGACCCTGCCTGTTTCTGACCATGTCTTCTAATAAAGCTTTGCAAATGGATCCGCACGCCTCACGTCTCTGTCACTCCGTAACAATATGTGCTTTATACTAGGTAATAAACAGCCAATATGCTATTAATTGACATACTAGTTAAGAGTTAGAATTGGTCCTTAAAATAAAGTATTACCAGATTATTATGCTTTTCTTAAAAGCATAATAATAATAATAAAGTGCTACTGTAAGAGACTCTTAGGTTACTGCTTATTCGTAGGGGGAGCATCACAATGGGATGTCAGTTAAAACACCTTGAGGCAATATCCATTTACAAGTTTTTTTTCACCAATGCCAGTACATCACTCGTTCCACAGGTATCAGACTGGTTTCTGAACTTAAACAAAATAAATAAATAATATTTAAACAATCAAGGAATTGCAAATAAATCCAAACCATACAAAACAAACAGTAAACTTACATCTGTACACAGCCACAACACCATATGAAATAATCCAGAGCAGTGAACAAGGAATGAACTGACTACTGCTCGGAAGCAACCCTTCTTAAAGGCCCCTAATTGGAGCCAGAATAGGATGCAGCTGTCAACAGTGGGTGGAGCTACAATCACTATGTCATAGGTTTTCCAACAGCTACCATATTATTTTGCTTTTCCAAAGGACAGGTGGCATGTTCTTTAGTACCAGAAGAGTCTGACCACAAAAAGAGTGCGTGTGTATCTCTCAACTGCAAACAAGTGCGACCTTGTTACCGTCAACAAATCACCCATCATCATCACCATCAGTCGTCGTTAACATAAAATATAATTAAACCCTTGATCATTTCACATCAACAACATGCTAGCTTTTATAAGTTCAGCTTTATATGCTCCTGTTGTGTGAGAAATACATTTTTAAAAGTACAAATGGATTCTCAATGTAGTCTCAAAATTAAAATGATCTCATTACAAGTATAGTAATTACACAAGAATTAGAAATAGTGTTATTGTTGGTTGATAGTTGTATCATTTATAGGCTATATGTCACACTACAGGACATTTCTGTCAATTCTTGACATTTCTATTGTATATCAGTGTTATGCATATATTAATTATATAGTCTGGCATGTTTTATGGTACCAGTTATTAATATTTTATCACTGACTGTGTTTTAGAATAAAAGAGAGAGAGATACAAACACACTCAACATATGGTCCTACTAATTTAAATCACTTTATATGCGTTCTGCCTTATCTCTGTCTTGTGAATGCACCAGTTGTTGTAGTTCTCATCTTCTCCATTACTAATTATTAACAGAACATTAAATAAGAACGTGTGTACATAAAACTCACTGTGAGTTTCTCAAACTGGAATCTGAACCTGATGTTTTCTGCCCAGAATAGACACAAATGGAATCTAGAGATCTGGAGTTCAAATTCATTAGGTTAGTGAGTGAGTCAGAGCACTGGTGCAAAATGCCTGTCCGAGTGCTCTGTTATTGCTGGCTGGCTTTACAGCGGAGGGTAGATCTTGACGTTGTCAATGTACACATGCAAATTTTCAATGCAAACAAAGAACAAGAGTAATATGGAAAACCGCTTGGGTGTGGAGAGACTGCCAACATTTTGTTTATTAACCCTATAAAGCTTGACATATGAAACAATAGTCTGTTTTTTTTTGTGGAAACGGAGCAGTTTATAGTTTTTTTCCTGAGCATAGTTTTCAAGTGCCAGGCTTTTATGACTCATGTAGTTTTACATAGGAGAATATGGATCTCATACTCAAGGAGGAAAACAATTGGCAAAAAAAAAAAAGCAATTTGATGCAGTTGCTGATATTTGTATGGCCAAACAATATGATGAAATATTGATAGCTTGTAGTATAAATCAATGAATATATAAGTTATACGTATTATAAATATTAGTTGTCACTCTATATCTCCCAGTAATGTGTTTTAATAAGATAAATGATCAAAGCTCTGTAGTTTATATTGTGGGGCAAAACAAAACAATGAAATTCCATGATAATTGAGAGATGAACAAATAAACGTTCATCAATAACCTGTTGTGTCATATTTGATACTCACATTTAAACATGATCTTTCTGAAAATGATTTATGGATAATCAAGTAAACCTACGTTTTTTTTTTTTCAGTCCAGTAAGAGTTAATCTTGAAATATTACAAACAAAACAAAAATGTATTCTGACGTTTACTTAGTGACGATTTCAAAGCAAAAAGACACATTGTGGACATTTTTACAATTTTAAGGTCTTTTGTTTGCTAAAAAAAAGTATAAACTATCAGACGACAGAAGGCATGTAGTAAATTGTGTACAACAGGTTTTTCAGCAAAATTTTCATCATACTGAGAATTTAGGGGCCTTAGAAATTTTAGAACAGTAGGCTTTCTAAGGTTAAAACTTTACCTTTAGTGTATTATAAAATGATTACATTTTATTTAATGAAATGAAATGGTTTGGAAAATGGATGGATGGATGCAACAATGAATAAACTTCCACCCCAGAACTGTGCAAAACCGACAGATGCTTTTAATCTTCCCAAGTCTGACAAAATCTATTTCACAATGCACCAGAATCTTGCAAGAGTTCATAACTCAAACGCAGGAATTCAATAGAAGGGGGCCACGGCCCATGGAAACAGCTGCCACCCTTCAGGATTATGTAATCACCCCCCAACTGATGACTCACCACTCGCAGGAAACACTGGGCAGCAGAATTTCGAAGGTCCATTCTAACTCGAACCAGCTCTGAACTGCTGCTCTTTAACCAGCAGAGGACGCTTGAGCCGTTATATGAGGTCTATGGAGATTCAATATATACATACCAGCCTGTCTACCTTTATAAAGTGTAAGCAAGTGACAGATATTATCTCTATAGAGATAAATTGAGTCAATCCTCCTCATAGCTGCTGTATGTGTGTGTTCATGTGACTCAACGGGGCATGGACACTCTGTGCCTGGCAAAAGTTCAGGAAACACTGAGTTGCTCCAGTTAAAACCGCTCAGAATAAGACCTAGCCGAGGTGGATCTGGGGCCCCTGCCAGGACACTCCCCAGCGCAGAGGAATGGAAACTGAAACACGCTCTTTCAGTAAAAACAGGAGGGAGGTGACTTTTGGTTTCCCCACTAACGGCAAAGTATAACCTCTAGCTGATGTCACGTTGAGGCAGTCCGTATGTTTGGAGCACTGAGGAACTTGACCACAGGTCCCATCACAGGAGCAGAGCCACTCCCCTTTCCTGTGCCGAGCTTGGAGGGGAAACCCAGGCTTTAAAAGTTTCATTTCACTTAGAAGACGGTCTCTCGTCGGATTCATACCCACCAGCCCGTTCTTCTCGGACATCCCCAGCCTGAAAGGATGGCAAGCTCCAAATCTTCTCAGACTACACGTAACATCGTGATCGCCTGCCTGGTCCTGTGGTCGATCATCTCTGTTATCATTATTGTGGTATGGGCCACTTCGCCCGAGATGAAAGGAGCCAGTCAGTGTCGGACGGAGATGCAAGCCCTCCGGGAGAGACATGAAGGGGCAAAAGTCGTGTGGACCAAAGACCGAAAAGCTCTCGAGGAGCTGGTGAGACAGGGATGGAGGAACCAGACTGCTCTACAGAAGCAAATCGACCAGTACAAGGAGCAAATACAGTTTATGAACATCTCTTTGAACGCCTGCCTGCAAGAAAATGTGAGTTTATCTTAACCTCAGTACGTTAACAGATTATGAGGTTATGACATGCAGATATGAAAAAAACATGGCTTTAAGTTTTCTTTTTGTTGAAACTCAGATATGAAACTGGTTTTGTTTTACATAATGAGCCCCAACGGGAAGTAGAGAACAGATCAGGTCGAGTTAAATCTGAAGAGTTATGCAAATATATGCCAAATCCTATGATCCGAACATTAAACGCATCTCTTGCCCATTGAGGGGGCAGGATATCAATCACAGCTCTTCCTGGAAAAAACGTTCCTGATAATCTTCACATTGTTCCTGGGGTTATTATGTTTCTGACAAAACATGGGTGTTGTGTTGTATTTAAAGAGGTTTTTGTCTTGATTTTTTGTGGTCTTGTTTTGTCAAATGCCGTTTTTGACCTTTGGAGGTGGCGGTGTTCACTCACACGCCCCTGAGATCTGACAGCCACACCTTAATGTCTTAGTGCAAACATCCACAGCCGAACCTCACCCCGGTTATTAACTTGTGTTTAATTGACATTCTGTCTCTCTCCGCAGGCCATTCTGAATGGAAACATCACAATTTTGGACAGCAAAATCGAAGAATACAAGCTCATCGAGGAAAACCTCACTGCTGAAATCAGCCTGCAGAAAGGTAGGAAAATTCACGTCAGAGTTTTTCCTCTCTTCAGAGCAGCCATGAAAGAGTGCTCTCTCTCTCTGACGATATTCTTAGATGCATTTTCCCATGTAACCATAGAAACTCGGAAGAGAGAACAAATAGGAAAGGTTTGTTTGTGACATGGAATTCTCTACAGTGGCTGTTGTAATAACATGAAGCACCGTAACTAGCGGTTATTTTTCCTATAAAAATCATCTATTTTTGGTCAGATTTCTTTGCCTTGTTATGTGCATTTATGTATTATATTCACAGAAAAGGTTGTCAAATTCAATACAAATAAAAATTACACTGCTGTTCAAAAGTTTGGGATTTTAATGTTTTTGAAAGAAGACTGCATTTGTTTGATTAAAAATCAAGTAAAACAACAATATTGTGAAATTTTATTATAATTTAAAATAACTATTTGAACACATTTTAAAATGTAATTTATTCCTGTGATACCAAGCTGAAGTTTCAGCATCATTACTCCAGTCTTCAGCATCACATGATCCTTCAGAAATCATTCCAATGTGCTGATTTGCTGCTCATAAAACGTTTCTTATTATTATCAGTGTTGAAAACAGTTGCACTGCTTAATATTTTTGTGGAAACATTGTGGATACATTTTTCTAATGTTTCTAACGTTTCTTTATTGAATAAAAAGTTCAAAAGAAGAGCATTTATTTGAAATCATTAATTTGATCAATTTAATGCATCCTTGCTGAATAAAAATATTACTTTCTTTAAAAACAATTACGGGCCCCAAATGGTAGTGTGTATGTATTCTAAAATTGTACCCGGATAACATAATTTAAAGGTTTTTTATTATTATGTTTAATATAACTGCCTAAAAAAAAAAGCCTATTCTGGCTTAAGCTAGTTTGTTGGCCTTAACTGGTTTCCCAGCCTGGCTGGACTGATTTGTTGATTGGTTTTCAGCATCATCTACAACCAGACTGACCTGGTTAGAGACCATCTAGACCAGTTAAATACCAGTTGGTCAGACATGGGAAACCATAGACCATAAGGCTGACAAACCCTTTTAAATTAAGCTGGAGACCATCTAGAACAGTTAAAGTCACCTTTGCCAGATGGGAGACCATCTTAAACTACTTAAGACCATCTCAAACCAACAAACACCATCTTAAACCAGCTAAGATCAACTCAAACCAACCTGTTAAGACTATAAAACCACCTAAAGTCATTGTTTGTTTGTTTTTTCCAGCAGGGAGCGCAGTACTGTTTATCCAAATTTATATTGAACATTTCAAGCCAGATTATTGTTTAAGTTGCAATGGATTTCCTGGCTCACTAAACAACTGCAGGAAATGACTCCTGAATGCATGAGATATGAAAATAAGAGGGAATACAAGAGCGAGAGAGACTGTAGCAAACACTGATTAAAATCGCCTCGCTCGGCCCTTTTAATGCAGTTATCTGAAAACAGCTAGCAAGCTTTTCACAAAACTTTCAAAAAACGTTTCGCACCAAGGCCATATTTTAACACCAGTGTCGAATTTGAGACAAAGCAGCAAGCGAACAATACCAGTCAGCTACCAGCTACGACTCAAAATAGTGCTCTGACATCACTGAGGTCCTTTAAGAAACAAACTGATAAGTTATGCCGTGCCTAGACATTGCCTTATAAGCCAATGGACTTTTTCCTCAAAGAATGTTTGGCATATTGTTAAGAGTGTTTGAAGAGGAGCGCTAACATTGTGAAGGGCTACATACTATTGGCATTACATAGAAAAAGATTTGACAAAACGTTATGAGTTGTATCGTCTGAGGAGAGTTTTTCATTATCGTTTCAGACCAGATTGAAGCCCTGGAGCACAATTTGACTCTGAAGGCTCAGGAGTTGGCATCTTGTGAGGCTCTACACCTTGCTTCTAAACAGCTTCAAACTGCCGCAGAGAAACAGAAACAGGCCTGCGAGACCACCAAGCAATATTTACAGAAGCAACTGTAAGTCATTCAGCATCTCTTCCACCACTTTCAACTCTATTTCATCACTCTTGAAAGAGTTCGTGTTTTATTAAAGCATTCGTCTAATGCCTAAATTAGTTTATAAAGCATGCAATGCGAAAATATCCTGCAAAATCGTACATTGCATTACATTTATGGTTGCTGGTGAATTTAAATATCATATTTTGTTGCTGAAATGATATGAGATTCCTGTCACTTCACCACAGCACAAAGTGCAAAGATGTGGACCACCATAAACATGAATATCATGTTGAACTCAATGACAGCGGAGCCCAAGGAATCACCACGAGAAGTGTTACACTGGCCATGATCGTTTGCCTTAGTCTGCTTTTGGTACCATGTAAGTGCATTTTGTGTTTAAGTGAATCATATTTAGAGTATTCAAGCTGATTACAGTCTCTGTTGTGTCGGTGTTGATAATGAATCAGTATCCTGTGTGCTAATGAGACTCTGGTTTATTCTCAGAGACAAGAGGAAGGCTGGATGATGGAGCATTTGGGTACATGTTTCGGTGCAACACTGTTCTGAGGACACCGCTCAGGTGCACTTGTAACCCTGGACTTAAAGCACATTTAAATCTTCATTTGGAAGTGCTGATGCCAAATTTATGATCACATGTAGTTAATGAAGGCATTTTTGGTGGCACAGTTGGGAGCAATGGAGAATTTTTCACCTTATTCAACAAACATATGCTGTACTTCATTGGTGGTAATTTTTTTGTTTGTTTTTATTTGGGAAAAATATATGGATTTTAGGGTCTAGATGTATCTGAATTGTATTTATTTTTGTTTGGAGTAACCAGGCTAATATGCCAATGATATATTAATATTAAGAGCTATTCAGAGATTTGATCGCACTGTTTTACCACTGTCTCTTCTTTTTTTTTTTTCTTTTTTTTTTTTTTCTTTTTTTTTTTTTTTTTTTAAGAAATTCATGAAATCCTTTTGAAAGCTATTTTTGAATAAAGTTAAAATGTTGACTGTCTAATTTTGACTTGATAAAAGACAGCCTTAATATGTGTAACCTTTCCATCACTACTGTGTCAGCCTTTTTAACAATAATCTGTTGAAAGAGTTCCCAGAACGATACTAAGAGAAAGGAAAAAAGTAAGACACACTCACTCACACACACACACACTCACGCACGCACACACACCAATAAAAGGTATATACTATGATCTACATTTAAATTCAACCATAAAATGACGGTAACTTATCACTCAAATGTGATTAAAATGAGAAATTAAACAACTTGACCTTTTTTCATGAAAGATACATGTTTTTAAGCATATCCTGTAATTATTTATTAATTTAGTATGATACTGAAATAAAGTGAGTAATAGCCTATTTGACTGGTCATGTGATCTCAACATGTCGGCCACCGTGAGGGGGCGACCCACTCCCATGTAAATTATAACTACTATGACTACTGTTTTTCAGTCTTCTCCTATTACAGTTTTTCTGAATGGCTAAAACACATTTCTTGAAACCATCACTCATTTTCTCAAAACCTTAAACACAAATCCAAACCTTCAAACTAAGTTCACAGAACCCCTGACTCTTCTGGCAAAATCAAACAATCGCTTCAAAACCATTTCACCTGTGCTCATAATCAAACAACGTTTTCAAATCATACACACATTAGTCAATAATATACACTACTGATCATTCATTAGACACTAAATCAAAAAATGGAGAACACAGTGTCCAGCGCATGTAGTTCCAAAAAAAATGTTTATTGTTTCTCATTCACTTAAACACTTATCACACTGTGATGCATTTGTGCTCCAAAATGCTAAACATAAGCGGCAAAAGTTAAACACTACTAAAGCATGTTTATTTTATTGACTCGTGTGTGTGATCTGAGAGCACAGTTTGATTTTGAGTGCAAGTGAAATGGTTTTGCAGTGATTGTTTGATTTTGATGGAAGAGTCAGAGGTTTCGTGAATTTAGTTTGAGTATTTGGATTTGTGTTTAAGGTTTTGAGAAAATGAGTGATGGTTTCAAGAAATGTGTTTTAGCAATTCAGAAAAACTGTAACATACACAAAACACGAAACAAACACGTTTGACAGCGTAAAACAGCAATTCCCAGAGTCCCTTTCTTTATCGGAAATGACGTTGCACAGACCCGCCCCTCGTCGCCTTCCAAAATAATCGCGCTTTGTGAATCCAACATGTCAGCGCCCGTGGAGGTAGTTCTGTGTGCAGATTCAGCGGGTCAGCTGTTTAACTGTGCGGTTTTCGACCCTCATTCCGGGTCAGAGTTCTTGTCCTATCGCGGGGGCAACACCTCTTCCCGGTCTTTAACAGTCCTGAACGGAGAATACATATTAGGAGCTCAACTCGGCAAGAACTTCATCAACGTGTGGGAGATCCAAAGAAAGGTGTGTAGAGCTGCTGCATCTAACGTTAGTTAATACTGAAAATAAGCATCACTGATGTTACCACTCAAGAATATAGTAATAAATAGCAGAATTGTTCAGAAAAAGTGTTCTTTAGTTTAATTAAAAGATGAGTGTTAATGGACAGTTAACATGTCAAGTTATGAGAGCGGAGACTTGAGTGCTGCACAGCGTTTTATAATTTTTGTATACTTTTTAAAATGTGTGTCACATCGTAGTAGTATTTAAATGAAAGCAAAGAAGCTCGAAACGGGAAAAAAGTGATCTTAACTATAATATTTGTTACATACTAAAATACAAATATCAGCTGAAAAATATTGCAGTCGTCACTGGCAATATAAAGTCCTGATTTTCATATTTTAATAAGCATTATGCAGTAGGCCAGGATGATAAACATGTTTTTAATTTTAGGAGAAGATCTACCAATATGTTCTTACTGTCAAAACCCCTTATCCACAAAGCATGTTTTGTTAGATTGTACTGGTTTTAACCCTGTGAGAAATGTTTAAGTTCAACCAAATAGTTTTACAGTACCAAATATAATATAATATACTACCAAATATAGTTTTACAGTTTCTCACCATGAAAATAGCCATGAGAGCTGGCATGGCGTTAAACAAACAAACATTAATACACACATCTGGTCATGATATAATATGTAGACTAACTATTTAATAAATAGCCAACAGTTTATTGGTTTGTATCGATGCTACCAGAGATTAAATAAGTAATACTGGTTTATTCAGATGACTGTGTTGTGTGACTGGGGTTGTCAACGTGAGTATGAGCCTAGAAACAGACAGATTATAACTGTTTTGGTTCAGTGAATGAAGGTGAAAGTGCACCTGTCAGAAATATGAACAATATAAAATTTTGTACAGCCAGAAATACGTGCTCTCTCTCAAATGTAACTAAAATATTACTCTGTTTTCCTGCAGTATTTAAAATTCAAATCTAAGTATGTTTAATGGCTGTCACTGCTTGTGAGTTCCAGATGGACCCTGCAGTGAGAGCACCTGAATAACCTTTTAATTCTGCACATTACCACCTTTCAGGACCAGCTGCAGCAGAAGATTGTGTGTCCTGGGATCGTTACGTGTCTCTGTGCGTCCCCTGATGGTCTCTGTGTACTGGCAGGCATTGCTGAAGCTATATACCTGTGGGAGGTGAGTGAGGAGACGGGTTTTGGGCATTAAGAAATATTGCACTCTTTTTCTGTGTTTTGACATAATTCTCATTCAGTTAATTCATTAAGAAATACATTCAAAGTGCATGCTCTTCTATGATGATCATGTGATTTTCTGACTTAACCTCTTAAGACCCTGTGGCCTCATATGAGGACATTATATTTTTGTGAATTTCTCTGAGACTGTACATGCCACAGTTTTAAGTCAGAGATACTAAATGTTTGGATGTTTCACTATGACCACTCCCTCTCCTTGGTGGAAAGAAATTATATTTCTATATTCTATGAAATATTATATATTATTATGAAAATCTGGTCGATTATTACTCCCATTATTACACTTGTTTTTTCATTACATGTTGTCCCAAAAACACAAAAATCATCGACAACGATTCTCATTATCGATTAATCGGGTCTGCACAAAGTGCACGTCCAACGGAGTTTACATACTTATCCAACTTCAGCCGGTCGCGTCAAAAATGAAATATCTTTTTTTAATATATATATTTTTTTACATTATTTTTTAATGCTCTAAACAATGTAAAGACATAGCAAAAACTAACTTTTTCCTAAAACATTTTTCTCGGGTCTTAAGAGGTTAAAACCTATCACTATTCCATTTTTGCATAAAGGTCCGTCCTGACAGTCTGTGCTAAATTTTAATCTTTACTGAATGAGCGCCAGCGCTGCGGCGTCAGACAGACGGAAAACGGAGACAATTAATAATCAGCGCAAAAACATTAATTGTGCTGAAATATCTGTTGTTGAAAGTTAAATTAAGTTTTAAAGGTCAACATGCATTGCGCATATTTTATGAGAGTAGGAACTGTAAGGGGATAAAAGCGTGTAATTGTCTGAATATAAATATCAGACGCTTCAAAACCGCCTTTAACAGGATAAAGAAATGACACTAAGCCCTATTCGGAATCCATGAGTTTTATCACTGAGGTGATAAGTAAATTTATTTTTACAGACGTCCATATGAGAAACAATTACCGTCCGAATCGGGCTATGACGTGACTGTGGTCAAAGGAACGTGTGTTCCTGCAGAACATTACTCTTACATATTGGTTACCACTGAGTTTGTGATTTTATTCGTCTTTATCATCTTTATTATTATTTAAATTTTTAATGCAGAGATTTAAACTATATTCACTATATACAATGCTTAACAAATTTATGTAAGGTTTTTAACAAATTATGGTTTGTGCCACTGCTGATCTAAACTAACAGTACTGGTGATTACCAAAATCATTTTTTAGCTTTCTGTATGGGTTAGTCCTCCAATATGCCAAGCTCTTTAGTAACAGTAGTAGGCTGTTTCTAATGCTATAATATAATTATTGCTGTTATCTATGAAAGAAAGGCAGAGAGCTTTATAGTGTTGTTGTTTTTTTCAGATACCCAATTACAGTCAAAAAGTACTTAAACAATGCCAGCAAGAACGCAAGCTATGAAGGGCATAGGAGGCCATTTTTGTTATGTGAATAAATACAAGTATTTAGTTATAAATAAATGACAATAAATTTTTTTTGATTTAAACAATTTTTTGACAGATTCCTAAAATTCCTAAAATGTGTTTTCTCTTTATTATGGCAGGTGGTCTAATAAATTGTTAAGCACTATATGTTTTCATAGCATTCAGTTGGAACGTTTGTTTTAAGGACATTGGGCAGAATGTGGAATAGTGTGTTTTTGTCAATAAAATAAAAAAAGAAAATTGTTTGTTTTAAATCCGATTAATCGAAAAAATAATCGACCAACTAATCGATTATCAAAATAATCGTTAGTTGCAGCCCTAATTTGCTCTTGTTTTAATCATAAACTCACTTTTGTGTCTCCTTCCATTTATTCCTTACATTTTCTTTACTTGGTCATTAAATTTACCCTCACAAAACCTGCAGGAACCCTGTGATAAATCAGTTTGATGCTTTTACTTTTTTGCTTCTGTTGCTGAAGCACAGTATTGCATTTATAACTCATTAGTCTGTTCAAGTGAATGTGACATAACGCTGGTTTGCTACTTGTGTGGACACTGTGTAATGGGTAGAATCATCTTTTTCTGCTTGATGAATAAAGTCTCTTTCTCAGGCTCGGACTATCTGGTGTGTGAAATTGAGAATGGAGGAACTCTGGGTAGTAAGAAGGGTGTCAATCTGCCGGGTGCTGCAGTCGACCTGCCCGCCGTGTCAGAGAAAGACGTCAAGGACCTGCTGTTCGGCGTGGAGATGGGAGTCGACATGATCTTTGCCTCCTTCATCCGCAAGGCATCTGATGTGCACGAGGTGCGTAAGGTGCTGGGAGAGAAGGGCAAGAACATCAAGATCATCAGCAAGCTGGAGAACCACGAGGGTGTGCGCAGGTAAGCTGATGACACCTGTTTCTCCAGCTGTACCGACCCCCAAACTCAATATGTAGTATTAGATGTGTGATTTAAAAATTATTTGGATTTGAATGCATCTCCTTTTATTCACCAGGTTTGATGAGATCATGGAGGCCAGCGATGGCATCATGGTTGCCCGTGGAGACCTGGGTATTGAAATCCCCACAGAAAAGGTGTTTCTGGCCCAGAAGATGATGATTGGTCGCTGCAACAAAGCAGGAAAGCCGATCATCTGTGCCACACAGGTCAGCTATGCTGAGATACGACCCCATATTAACATGCATTCTCCAGAAAATAAAGTCCATAATATATTATTTTGTAGTGTTTTAAAAGGGTTAATCTTGCAGTTTAATTGCTCTAATGAAAGTAAAGGAGCAGTTTTCT